CCAAAAGGTTTGCCCCTTTTAGCCCCTTTTCCAGATTTTAGGGGAGGGGGGGAGGGGGTGGTCGCCCACCTTCCCGGTGCCCCCTCTTCCTACACTCCTGAGTTGTACATAGAAGGCCATGACCTCCCCTGAAAGTCCCTGTCTCTCCGTCGTTAACCCGGCGGGGTTGCACCAGGGGCGGTGGTAACAGAACTTCAAGACTCCCGGAGTCTGTCGTCGATATCTATGTTTAATATATTTTAAATGGTATATAATTTGGGAGTCTCTCTCTCCAGCAGCAGGAGTTGGGGAAATGGGGACGTGTTGTGAAAGCCACCGTAAGGAAGGCTTACTGTCGACGCCGACCAATCAGAAGAAGACTTTGCAGGTAAGTGTACAATGTACATATGAAGAAAATATAAAGTTTTAAAAAATACAACTCTTCTTCTTATCAAAACCATAACAGCATGCTCAATTTCACGTTCGAATAATTTGAAACTGGAGTCTGTTATCTCTCAAAATCAGAAAAGCTTAAAAATGGTTTAAAAGCAGTTTTCAGTCCTAATATGAAGGTCTCTATGATGTTATCTTCGTTATAATGGTAGGTAGAGTGTCGTTGCGGGGGAGTCCTGCCATGGTCTACTATACAGGGTACAATCTTAAATCTTGTACTTGTAGCCCTTTCTTCTTTCCTCGACATCTTGTCCAGTGAGAGGTATTCGCTCGTTTCCAGTCTCGACCAGCAGAAATGATCCCACCATACAAAGAACCGAGATAAAAGCTAGGCCCCCAAGAGGTACCGCTTTGTGAGTGATGGGTGCCAAATTGTTGAATATGAACGGACCTATGAAGGAGCCAAATCTCGAAATGCCACAACAACTGCTGAACACAATACCCCTATGTGTTGTAGGTGCTATTTCTCCAGTCCAAAGAAACAGCCCTGAGTAAGCCCCGGACACAAATGTAATTCCGTACAAACAGCTGACGCTCTCCAGATTCCAGCCCCTTCCAAATTCCACGTCTGGAATCGCTATGAGGTAAGTCAGAGCAGCCCCTAGAAACATGACTATCATTGCCCTTCTTCTTCCCAGCCAGCCTATTAAACAAACGCACATAAAATAAGCAATCAGTTCTCCCACACCAGCCATAATGTACCCTGTGTATCTATCTGGTAGTATTTCTCCCCAACCAAAGTTGAAGCCGAAGTAGAACATCGCAACGGATGGCCAAAGGAACATCAGAATTATCGTTTCGAGACGAAGACTTGGGTACCGAATAAATTCGATCAGTTGCTGCCTGGCATTATGGTCTCTATCTTTAGCCTTTCCGACATCTGCTATTTCGATGTTTTCCAGATCAAGGTTCATCTTGTTCAATTTTGCCAAAGCTTTCAAGACTTTCTTGGCTGCCTCTACATCATTTTTTATCAAAAAGAATCTTGGCGATTCTGGGCAGATAAGGGTTTGTAATGTTATAAGCACCAACATCACGGACGTTGCTAAAAACATGTTGTTCCAGTTTTTAATGAAGTAGCCGATTCCTACTGCAATGGGGTAACCAAATGCCCACAAACATCCTGCCCAACCATTTATAATGTTCCTATGTTTTGATGGAACAAGCTCTGCTGTGAGAAGGTACATGCCATTTGTTGACAAAAGACTACCAATGCCAAGGAAGTACCTGATTGCCAAGAGTAAGGAGTAGTTGTGACAAAATTTCCCTATTAAAAGTGAGGAGGCCCCGATGAACATGCCAATCATTGCTGTCTTCTTTCTCCCAATTTTATCGGGCAAGTAGCCACCAAGAATTAATCCTGATAATCCTCCAGCGAAGAAAATTGATGTTAACAAGGTCTTTCGTGCTTTTCGGGATCCAACATCGCAGTACAAGTCAAAATCAGCAGAAAATGAGGTATGTTCAAGACTCCATTCTATGTCAGAAGGTCCAAGAATCAGTTCTTCTTTGCCATCTTCTTCTTTGGTGATTTTGCAAGGAAATTTGTGTATTAATGATGGATTGGCTCTTGTCAAATTATAGCACTTTTCGGATTTGCATTTCCAAATGTCGTCGGGGGTTGGATCAATACCTGGATCAAAATTTGCAAGTTAGTAAAATTAGATCATCTTCAGTAAATTTAAGTAGTTCAATAAATAAAAGTGATGCATACAAGAGAACATAGCACGATTTTTATCAATTTATGATCTTGTACGTTTCGACCTATATGATACATCATAATCTGTGATTAGTCTTGCAAGTTATTTCAGCTGCAAAAATCACCTGCGAATGCAGTTATATAATGAATAGAAGGCCCTCCCATCCATACCAACATCAGTGACATTATGAGAGCTGTATACTTCCAACTCCGGTTTCGGGTCAACTCCTCTAGCAAATCATCACTACTGACTGGTCCTTTATCTGCTTCCGGCAGGCTGGATTCTATAGTTGAATGAGCCTTATTTTCCACGATCATCTTCACAAGTACTTCAAACTTCTGAGATATTTTCTGTTCTGTAACTGAACCTTATATACGTAGATCAATAAATTCTCCAAAGGTTGTTCAGTACATGGACAATTTAAAAACTGAAACGATACACAACGACGAATAAAATCGAACTTGGTATGACAAAATATTCAACAAGGAATGGATATTTAACGAGGAGCACATATCTAACGAGGAGTTTGTAGCACCGAAAAGGTCACATGATAAATTATAAATGAAATATGATTCAGTGAGGTACAACATTATAAATGAGCACGGCTCATCTTACACTGCTGAATGTTGCATAATGGTTACAAGGGTCAGAACACGGTCAGAAGAATAAAAGTAAAATTCATGTAGGCCTTGTACTTTGTAGGGTCACTAATAAAGTCTGTGCCAACTTGATTCTAATTTTATATATTAAAGGTGAATGTCTATAATGGGGTACTCCGTACTAGGTCCCAAAATGTGGACCCCAGTATATATATAATAAGTGAAAGGCTTAGTTGAGGTTCACAAACTTCAGATTGTGCATTGGTGACTTAAGGGGGCATACCCCAAAACAGTGGTTTGTGCCGTCCAGACCAAATGACCTCATAGGCAGTTCAGTGACCTTCTAGCGCACCGTTTCCACACCAAAAAAAAGATTTTGAGAATTCCCATTTTTGTAATCGAGCAATTTTCGGAAAAAATTATTTTGTGGTTGAGACGCTATAAGTTAATTATTTCTTGGGTGCAAAATAACCGCAACTAGCACATTTATCTATGAGTTATGAACAACAAAACACCCTAAAATGCTTCCCTTTGAAGTTATGAGAGAAAATGTGATTTTTTGGCTTTGCAGATAAAAAATCACATTTTCTCCCATAACTTCAAAGGGAAGCATTTTAGGGTGTTTTGTTGTTCATAACTCATATATAAATGTGCTAGTTGCGGTTATTTTGCACCCTTCAAAAAGTCACTAGCACATTCCTATCAAAATTTTAGAAAAATCAGTAAATATTAAAAACGAAAAATGTGGCTAAATTTGTTGTTTGGCTTTGAGGTCCAATAGATCAGAAGGTGAATGAGTAAAAACATTTTTGAGGGCATCAAAAACTGCGCCAGAATTCAGAGAACAATTTGATGTCAAGCATCAAATAATCCGATCTTCCCTGACTGACTTTTTGTTAAAATAAGCCTGAAAAGGACAATTTTAGCTTTTTGACTTTAAAAATTCATAACACACCAGCCTTTTTAGATACGATATCAAGATTTTACACACACCTTGACATAGATGTGAATAAACGGCGAGCAAAATTTCAACTCGATACCGCAAGAAATGATTAACTTATAGCGTCTCAACCACAAAACAATTTTTTCCGAAAATTGCACTCTTAACCAGGAAATGCTCGATTACAAAAATGGGAATTCTCAAAATCATTTTTTTTGGTGTGGAAACGGTGCGCTAGAAGGTCACTGAACTGCCTATGAGGTCATTTGATCTGGACAGATTTGGGCTATGCCCCCTTAAACTAGTTTTATACTAGCAGATTGCCCGGAGCCTCCTTGAAAATCACACAAAAGAAGTGTTGTTAGAACTACGAAAACTAGAAGAACCTTACAAAATGTTCCTGGACTTTGTACGTCCTCCAGATCGAATAAAAACACGCAAGCAATTAAATCTACAAGAAGAACTTGTTACTTAAACCATGACAATTAACTTATCTGCAATTTTATAAAACCACTGACTGAATGTAACACTGTAACTTGCCAAAAAATATGCGGGTATTAAATATTGAATGAATTTAAATTGTGACAGAATTTTCTACCAACACATTCATTTTTTTGGTTTTACACTTTCATATTTTTCTATGATAATTGTAAATTTGTCAGATGATTTAAGATACTTATTTTGATTGGGGACCGCACTGGTTTTTGGTACACCGGCAAATTTTTACAAAAATCATATGATACATAATTATAAGTCATAACAATATAATTTTATCTAACATAAGTGAAAATGAGAGTTGAAAATTATGAGTTATGACGTAACCTTTATCGTTTATTCTTTTTAAGAAAACCAACTTTAAAATTAAAACTTGCATATCATGATTTATTTATTTACTAGATTTATTTATTTACTAGATAGTTAATAGGGTTAATAGTAAGTTAATATGTCTAGTCCTGTCGTGTATCTCAAAATTTGCACCTTTAGTCCTTTCTCCGTTCCACGACATCTTGTCCAGTTAAATAAAAATTTAGCATAAACTACATATTCTCTGCTGTTTGAAGCTCAATATGTGTGGAAATGTGGATACAAAATCCAAAAAAGGACAAAACATGCACCCAATTATATCAAGATATTCACCATGGTATTATGTGAACAATACATTTTGCCTCGGTGTAAATATTTCACCAAGTAGATTCTCACCATTGTAGACACTTAAAAAAACGAAACTCCCGTATAAATGACTATACCAGTCCCCCCCCCCCCCCCCCCCCCCCCGGCCTCCCCCCCCCCCCCCCACATATCAATAAAATATAAAATTCTTATTTATACCTGCTGAATTTTCACTGCTTCGATCCGCGTGTTTGTCCTCCTGAAATTGAGCATCTATCAATGATCATAGATCGAGAAGTTGTCAACTGATCGAAATGACGCGACTTGCGTGCAAGATTGGTCTACGCGGCGACGTGCGTGCATGATCGACGATCGATCGATGCGACGTCGCGTACGTGCGCGCATGGGTGGAGTTGTTTTTGTCGGATATGTACGATGACAAAGATGTACCGCGCGTTACGACGTATGCGCTTCAAAACTGTGACTGAATAAAAGTGCCAATAATTTTAATACCGATTCATGCGTGCGCAACTTTAAAAAGCGCTTTATTACAAATAACAAAAGAACAACAAATTATGTTCGGCTCACTTGTTCTTTAGATTTATCAGGACAAACAGATTCCTTGCTCAGCTTATGTAGTTTTTCATTTCCGTTCTCCGACTGTAGTTAAAAATGTGATTAGTCACCAGGTTATGTTAAAAAATATCAACTGGAATATTTGGCCAAAATCAGTCAACAAAATTGTCTTGGCGAAGATTCAACAAATTTAATTGGCTTACCTAAATGATGGTGAGAGTACTGGCTTACCTCTTGATCTATTTATCGTTTGAATAATATCACCGACTGGTATAGGCTCGAAACATAAAAATAATATTTGCGTGAATTTAAAGTAAAGTCAATTTTAAGTTGATCGAATTTTATAAGCCAAATTCCAAAATTCGCTTCTGCATGGCCTTAATAAAAAGCTACAGATGATAAGTATGTAATTACCTGTGTTTTAGATGCACTCGGAGTTTCTGTATCATCTGGATCCGAAGGGTCACTCTCATAGTTATAATTGGATAACAGTCCCAAACCCGACATTGAACAATCCTTAAAAAAAGAGTTTTCATTAAAAAAAAGTTATTATTACTACGTTACTGTAATAATTCTATACTGCATGCTAATGCAAAATTAAGACGGATGAAAAAGTGATGACTTTTTAATTTTAATTTAACGAAGTCATTGATCTACTTATACTCTAGTAATTTATAATCTATAATGAAACTAATGTTACAGTATTACATGTTTATTAAATATTCTGAAGAGTTCATATTTCAATACATAATACTTTGACAGTGCCAAATTAAATGTATAAATTATAAGTATACCTAAAACACAGCTCATCATCTTGTAAACAGCGATACGTATCTAACACATAAAGCACTTATAAATAGTGACGACAGATATAATATCGTGATGTTCGGTAGGCAATAATTTGTGAACGAATCCCCAAATTTCCGGTAAACCATTGCCATCATGGATAATGGATAACACAAACGTCAAACATCCTAAAACTTCAAAGTTCATTGAAGCCGTTATTACAAAATCAGGAAAGACCATGTAAGTGACCCAATGATTTTCATTTCATAAACATTTAATACAAGATGGCGTGCCCCATTCGAATATTTGAGCACTACATCAATTGCTATTTAAACTTAGATAGAAAGTGGATGTTTCTAGCATAAAACTCATTATATAACTCTGTACAAATAATATTGCTATTTAATAAGACTAATTTTTCCACAGTACTCAATCCAAATTCCTAATTGTTATTTCTTTCCTAATTGTTATCTCATTTTGAACCTCAGGTTCGAGTATGCGGGTCCTCGGGATATCAAGTGAGAACCAAGCCATACTAAAGATAAAATTAAAAATTTATTTACACACAATGTTTAACAAATTTCAAACTGACAATCAATCACACATTATATTCTTCAATAATCATATTAAAACTTTGTCCGCGACAAAAGTATAATTTAAAAATGTACCGTTACATTACAAACGATGACGTTCTTGAACCATCTCAATTTAAGTGTCATTTCTGATATTATGATGATAAAAATTCAGAGCCATTTCGGTCTGTGCAGAGGGGGCGGGTGATTACAAGAGAAAAATTCATGCTTCAAAACTTGTTCAGCAGTTATTCTTGAGTTGGGGTTAGGATCAAGGCAGCGTGAGAGAAGATCAAATGCAGAATCTTCAAAAGGCTGCAAAGCGCACGCCTTACTCCGGTCTTCCTCCACATTGTTCGCATCACACCTCTCACACCTAGAGATGTGACTACTCTCCCTTAGTCTCGTACACATCTTCTTAAGCTCCCACCCAGTCACCGACTTGGACAGGGTCACCTGCTTGCCAATGCTCTTAGCAGCCGCAATTATCATGTCGCTACCCAGCAGGGTGATAATCTGACATAGCGAGGTCAGATCGTCAGCAGCTTTAAAGAAGGGGTATCTCATACTCAGGAGACTAAGGAATATGACACCAGCTGCCCAGATATCCACAGCAGTTGTCTGTTGGGGGTGTTTCATTAGCATTTCCGGGGATCTGAAGCCTGGTGTACCCGCACGGGATGCTTCCTGGCCTGGTTTTAACAGACAGGTGTTACAGATCTCATTACCTGCATGGGCACATTCTCGTTTGGACGATTTGGAACTTGATGATTTGGAGGTTTTACTGCTTGAGTTTTTGGAGGAGTTCTTGGACATGCTGAAGAAACTCTTCTTCTTTTCCTGCACTCTGGGACTCCTGTCTCTCAGAATGTTGGGTCTCTGTGATCGTTGGTTCCTGTCAAAGTTTGTCAATTCATTCTTAACATTGTGATCGTGCTTCCGTTTGGTATTTTGTTTATTTTCCTTATCTTCAACTACCATGTCCTCGGCCAGCCCGAAATCCACCAGAAGAAACTCCCCTTTCTCTCTATCATACAGAAAATTACTAGGCTTGATGTCTCTGTGAATAACGTTGAATCTGTGAACATGGGCCAAAGCTTCAAACAAAGCTTTCAAATATTTTTGTATTTCCCACTGGTTTGAATCCTGAACGACTTTCAGAAACTTGGTGGCTTTAAAGTAGGGCAGAACCAGCACCACATTATCCTGGTGCCGGATGATGCACTTTATATCGCACACGTGGTGCTTCCCTCCCAGTCTCTTCAAGTACCTGATCTCATTTGTGATCCTCCAAGAAGCCGATGTTGGAATGATGTACTTCAAAGCAAATGATGCTTCCGAAGCGATATTTTTAGGCTTGCCATGAAACACATAACTAAACGTTCCGTCTCCCAAAACATCTATAATATCAAAGTTTCTCTCAACTTCTGGGACTCGCTTGAGGAAACTGGTGATGCAGCTATCAGAATCGTCGCTGGGTTCGGTGTTTCGTTTCCGTTTTTTGGTGACAATGCTCGGTTCTGGTTCAGGGGCTGGACCATGACTTGATTTGGAGTGAGCTATTGACGCCGTCGCTGATTCACTGTGTCGTGAGGACATTGGTCCTGAATTGGGAAGGTTTAGAAAAATGCTGAATGAATAGCAAAAGTAACAATATAGCAAATTTTAATTTTAATTCATCGAGGTATATACTGTCAATCGAATAGATCTTTGTGCAAGCAAGTAAATCTACATAATATGGTCATGTCTATTGTCACAGTATGCATATCTTTTAAAATGTAACGATACGACTGGGGTGTTCTTATTTTTTATATCTCATATCGTCACAATGTTAACAAATAAACTATAAGAATAAACGTATTTTTAAAATAATTTACCACGCAACGAAAATACAAAATATTAAAAATCCTACATAATTGACAGTAAAGCATTAGTTTTAATAATTAATGAATAATTTAGAAGTACTAAAACTTACAAAGTATAAACATCTAATCACAACAGCTATTATCATATTCATCCTTAACTTCCACTTTTGTATGACCCGTGGAATGTTCTGAATCAGAAAGTGGATTTAAAACAGGAACTTTTCTCTCCAACAAATGCGCCCCACACTTAGCCAGGGAATCTGCCATGTCATTTCCATAAACAGAAGAATGTCCCTTAACCTTAACCCACCTCACATCAATATAACAACACAACCCGTCCAGTAAGGCGAACATGTCCCTGTTTTTCACTGCATGATTGCCAGCTGTTGTCCAGTTATTCTTCCTCCACCTCAGTATCCATTCTGTCATACCACTGATAACATACTGAGAGTCAGTCCTGATCTCCAGAGCCTCGTAGTCTGACTGCAGCGCGGTCTGCACGGCTCGTACAATAGCCCACAGTTCAGCTCTCTGGTTAGTTTGGGAGCCCCACAGTCTCTCTATGACGTTTCTAGGGTCGTCTCTACCCCAGAATACACCACATCCTGCCCTTCTCTCGGTCTCAGCTAACATGTTGTTTATACAGCAGCCATCAGTGTACACTATTGGTACTCCTGAGTTTGTGAACGTCTCTCCTGTCTCTTTGTTTTGAATTTCTTTCTTGGGCCGACCTCTTGAATTGCGTGAAGAAGGAGTTTTCCCGATTTTTCGTTTCCGTTTGGAAAGCTTCTCTGATTCTAATTCGATTGATTTAATAATATCTTCTTCAAATTGTTGTAAAGAGAACTCGTCATCAAGATCCGTATCATCAGAATATTTAACCTGCTCCTGCGACTCAAGCCGCGCACTTTTCCTCGGAGTCTCGTCTATTATATTATTTGACGAAACATGCTTAGGAGCACGGTACAGAGTTACATCTTCTTTAAGGGTTTCAAAAAGGGCTGACAATTTTTTCCCCTTTTACGATTGAAAATTAAGAATGTTGATTCACCGCAGACATCCTTCGCCATATTTTGAATTATAAAGTACCCAGGCAGTTCTCTCAACCAATAAACTTGTATAAAAACGCTGCAATGCTGAACATTCGTCAGGAAAAATTGGGCCCGTAGTCGGTGGGAATGTTAGGACATGTTTTTGCGGGGTTCTATTGGACGCGACCCAGCGTTTTCCTTCCCTCATTTTTGCCATCAAATAACTCTTCCTGCTCTCTACCCAAATCAGTCACAACATGAGGGAAAAAAAAACAAAAACCAGGGGAAAATTTTTTTTGGGGTTGGGGGGATTTAAACCCATGGAAATCTGCCAAGGGGCATCCTCACCTAAATTAGATCATCTACAATCAAATTAAACATTATTTTTTGAACCAGAAACATAATTAGGGAGTGGTTAAAGATCCCCCCCGATGCTCGGAAATGCTTAACAAGGTTTCGTTTTAGCTGCCACAATCTTTACATTGAGAGGGGCCGTACCGAAACCCCCTAGTAACATGAGAACCATCGATGGTGCACTTTTTTGCTTTCCTCAGCAAGGCGGTTAAGCCTATTGAGGACGAAATTCATGTTCTAACTGACTGTTTACTTCTACTCCTCGTTAGAGAAAAAATTTAACTTCCATCCCAAAAATAATACTGACCTAGCCGGTTTGCTAATCCGATAAAACACTAGACCCTACAAAATTCTACTGACACAGCAAGAGCAATCCATTCATTCTCTCTGTGAACGAACATTTTACAGCCTCACTATAAGAGCCCAGAATTCCACTCATATATGGCCAATGCATAATGCTATAGGACCTCAAAAATAGTAATTATAAAACATTTCTATTTTATCACCTACACATTTTGTAAATAACTAGATTGTGTAACCTTACATTATTTCAGAATTATAACTATTGTGAATTCATTAAAATAAGTATCACTTTTGTATCCTTGTAATCCTTGTTGCCTTGTATCCTTGTATATACACTGGACCTTACAGGAGAAGGTGGAAGACCCAAAGCAATCTATCTCGCTGATTGTGCTTGATTTATGTCAAAAGTAAAATCTTATTTGAATAATTATCTTTGAACCGGCATTATATCCGTAATTTGAGTTATGACAAGAGATATTCGGCGGAATTTGCAATGAAGTTTTTAATATTTTAGTTTTTGTTTTAGGGAAAAGATTAGGATTGGGCGTTTGTTTTTTAAAACTATCCCTTGTTTACGAACTTTGATTTAATAGGTATTTTGAAATGAATGATTCAAGGGGACATTTACGCGACCATATCTCGACAAAAGCAAATACAATCCTTGTATTTGACATTCGTGTATAGGAACTGACATGGTGCTGTGTTGCAGATCGTTTATGTGGATGTAGTTTACCCTCCGTGTCGTGAAGAGACCATTTGGCGAGTGACCCATCTCCACAATTTCCTGAAAGTTAATAGCGATTTTAAAATCTTTATACAATCTTCTTTGTATAGCCTTCATAAAGTGATAAATGTAATTTATAGTCAATTTCTCCTGAATTTCAGTGTATAGATTATAAGATTTCCGTTACGACTTCAATTAGTCATTACGGAAAAGCAAAGGATGATCTTTAGTAGAGTTTCTCCGAAAGGCTTTTGCGTACATCACGATATTAACTGGATACCTGATTTAGAATTACATTTATTCACATATTCATATTGAGTTAAGGTTTGAGAAAACTGGCCTCTAGAAGTGGTATCATTCCTAGGGGCTAATTGGGCTGCGGGTTTCGGGCAATTTTCATCTGCCTCATAGTCTCGAAGAAAATGTTAATATTACCGGGTATCAATTTATAATAAAGTTGCAAAAACTGTGAATATTATAGAACTGTTCCTAATCTTAGTTCTATCTTAACGCGGGCGGCGCTCAGCCTGTCTTCGCAAATCTCTGTGATTATGAACATAATATAATCGCTGGGGTCCCAGGTAAAGTTCTATCAAATTTCACAGCCCAAACGAGATCTTAACAAAAATCAAACTATCGGTTCGAGTGTTTTAAGTTCCCGTTAATAAACTTGGGACTTTGATCATTTTAAGCGTTTCAATTAGATCAATTGCAGGTTGTCTTACGGGCTTACCAGAATTGTGAAGAGAATGGTGCTCAGCAACATAGAATTCTCAGACAGTTTACCAAATTCCAGACTCTCTGTTAATTTTGGAATTACGTTATTTGTAAACCCTGTATGGAGGTATTTTGTTAACACCTATAATGTAGAAAAATTAAAAAAATCCAGCATCGCTCTGATCAAACTATTTAAACTTGGAATTTGTTGCATTTTGATTAAAAATGAGCAAAACACACAACTTTGTGGTAGAGGCAGTTTCATGTGTAACAATTATTGCGCCTGAACTCGACTAGTCTACAGAAGAAGGAAGCTGCATAAACTAGAGCTTCCGTCTCCTTAAGAAGAGATTTATGCTCTAGTCTTTCATATTCATTAGCGGGAGAAACATAGTACATTTTAAAATCGCCTGTTTGTTATTCCAAACTTCACTATATATTGAGACAGGCCGAGCTCAATGACCTGCATCAGTTATTCCACTTACCTGTATAATAGAAAGCAACTCCCGTAAACAATGTGACCTCCAATGTACCCATTTATCTAAAGCCACTAGTGTTAGCATCCCTCTATAAAGTATAACAGGTATAATAGTAACGGTGTACTAATAGTAATCACGTGTATAAATTAAAAACAATATCACGCGCGCGGGGAGAATACTTAGATAACAGAAAGATCGCAATGATCTACCACTACCGTTGACCTAACATGACCTATAGCTAATAAAATGGCACAATTCAATATACTTGACTTGATTTTAATTATACTTTTAAGTTTTAATACATGCGCGTAAATCAAACAGGGTCCTGAAGGTGTATGCTCATGACTGGGAGATGGATTTAGAACTGTCTTTAACACTCTAAGCACTTAATGTTTTAAGGTTGCGAAATTAAACTATTGTGTGCTTCAATTTGGTCGTCAGGGATATGAAGAATAAAATATACAGTGAAAGCAAAAACGTTCCTTGAATGTAATGAGTGAAATGGAGAATTCTTCTATAACAGAAAATATGAAATTGGGATCTTTATAAAGGGGGGATATTCAACAAACCATCTCAATTAATCTAAAAAACCAACTCAGTTAATTAAATGCACATTGCATAATTTATGTTATATTACTCTAGACTATAAATTTGTGTGGAAACTGGAAACTCCTCACAACGGAAATAAAGAAGACTTTATGAATGTCTATGAATAACGACGGGGGAACATCAAGATTGTGTGACAGCACGACCATAAGATGGGAATGTTAACAATTTCTAAAAAATTACGTTGCCTCTACTAGAAAAGAGGCAAGTGTGCTTTTCTTTATCGTAAGAAGTCGATAATGAGAACACTTATCTGGTAAATGGGATCTTCACATCACTATTATCAATCCTAGATGATCACAGTCGAATCATTTGACGTGGAGAAATCATGATATTACAGTTTTTAAGTCTACTATGTCTTACCTACTTGCGAAAGTATTTCCTTAGAGAAAAGATAAATAACAGGCGGCAGCGGTGCCCCTTAGGCTAGGCGGCCTTCGTTCACATATTACGTAATTGAGCGTAGGGGAGGGGGTTTCTAAATGATTACGCTAGTGTAATTTTTATACATTAGCTATGTGCAAAGCCAAAACTGCATTCGGAGGGGCGGCCGTCGGGGCGAGGGGGGGGGGGGGGGTTAAAAATTGTCAAAAGTGATATATGTGACGACCCCTTTTAAGTAATTATATCTTACTCTGTTCTAGAATCTCGACATCCACTTTGACAAATCAAGGGTTAGAATAATTCTATCCCACAATAAAATAATACCGCTCTTAAAAGGCTAGGCAAATGAACAAACAAACTTCCTCTGAGTCTGCATAAAGCTGCAAAGTGTCTTAACGTAAAATCCGTTAAATACAGTATAAATAAAGAATGCTGTAAGCCAAGTAGTGATAAATTAATCCTCGTCATATAAAACACCAACCACTTCAAGTAGGCTCATTCACGCCAATCTTTAGTAAAACTGGACCAAAAAGTTTTGCTACCTTACCGTCGGCTGGCCGTAGTTATGCATGCTGGATTGCGTAATATAGGAGGGGGGTTGGGTCTTGATTACGGGGGGGGGGGGCGGGGGCGGGGAGGGGGGGGGGTCTCAAACTTGATTAAGTTATTTAGGGGGGGGGGGGGGGTTCGGTGATTACGGCATGGGGGGGGGGGGTTAAAAAATTGGCAAAATATTGATTACGTAATATGGTGAAGACTCATTAGTGCTGGTGCCGGCCATGGTTGTCCGAAGGAAAAGAAAAAAAGTGGTCAGGTTTTCATAAATGACCCTGCGGCCTTGGCAGCTAAACAACGTAATGTAAAAGTAAAATAAAGTAATGTTTTGTATTGTTTGTTTTGTATTGTATTGTTTGTATTTTTTGTATTGTTTGTATTGTAATTTTATTGTTTGTTATTTTTTGTATTGTTTGTATTTTGTATTTTTTTTTTGTTTGTATCGTATTTTTCTGTTGTGCCACACCATATGAAATGATT